AAAAATATGGCCAGTCACGTACTGCAAGTAGCCCGTTTCATACACAGTAAATTCACCAGGTATACTTCACCATTTTACTTATAAATACAATACCAATCATTAATGTATCGAGTTGCAATTTCCAAAATATCCTATATATATACTGGGGTAGAGTACATTTTTGAAGATTCTACTTCCCTTTGCCTGGTTAAAGCACAGTTAATGTACTCCTTGCATGTCTGTTTTGTTCATTTTTTCTCTTCCTTTTTTTTTTTTTTTTTGGCAGGGTTATGAATTTCAGCATTCAAAAACAATCATGGCATGGTTTTTTCACAAGGTACCTAAAACTGATTCCAACAATAAAATTTTGGACAATAAAAAAGTAGCGAAGACAACAAAAGAAAAGAATCCTTTTCTGGCATTCAACTGAGCACTTATAAAGAGGAATGGAACAGGTGCCCTTCATTCCACATCAACCTCAGCTTTTATTAACCAGTTACCTGGTTACATGGTTGACTAACCACCTGCACTGACAGGTGCATGAATAACACATCACCCACTTGTCAATTATCACAAAGTCAGACACACACCTACTGTAAGTGTCAACAGACATTTCTATGACTATTTTCACTAGCTGTGCTTATTTCTGTACTGTGAGAATTTTTCCACAACTATGTCATCACCCAGGCAGCCTCTGACAGGGCATAGTTGATGAATATCTGTTACTTCATAGTCAGTCATCTTTCTAATCTCTTTGCATAGATCTCAGGATTTTTGTTCACATATAAATGTATTCCTTTTTAGAAAAAAAAATATATATTTATATATGTGGGCATCTACTTCATTAACAGTGGACTTCATAATGATTACATATTACTGTCTTGTATTGTTACACTGAAAAATTCCTCAAGCATTCTCGTGTATGGTCCAGAACACTTTCACACCTATCTATACCATGGACTGTAAACTTACACCTACCTATACTGTAGATTGGGCTGCCCTATATGTGAGAACTCCACCTCTTCTCCATAAGTGAAGTTCTTCATTGTTGGGTACATCCCTCGGCCGTGCTCTGATCGCCATTTTCCCAGTAGCCATGCTAAAGGTTTGACGACTTCATGTAGCTGAGGTGGTTTTGCTGGAAATAATGTGACCTTGAAGACAGATTTGGCTTCTTTAAATTTTTCTTTTTACCAAACAAACTTTTAGGATGTAGGAATGAATTTCTGCAGGTAGGTCAGTAAAATCTTTACTTTTTTATAACTGACCAATTCCAAAAACCCTTGTGAAATCTAAAACATGACAGTTTTCAATAATTCATCACCAAAAAAACAGTAACTATATATGTATATATTTTAATTTTAGATGATTTACGATATTTTTGGGGGAAAGAACCTCAACCCATTAACGGTGATAGGTGAAAAAAATTACAGTGAAATGCCTAGTAAAAATGTGACCTCATTATCAAAACATATCAAATTTAACATTTACTTAAATTGCCAAAATATTTGCAGTTAAGCATTTTGTATATATATTCTGGAAAAATAAATGACAAATTATAAATACAACATACTTACAGCATGACATGGGTCTGACTGGTGTTATACTACTGCATGCACTTCTGAAAGAAAAGAAAAACATCAAACAAACACATGAATGTTATCACAAGTGAGGTATTTCAGGACTTGACCCAAGGCACACAAGCTATCAATTAAATCAAGATCTGACACATTCTATTTCTTTTTATTTCTTTTATGATTTACAGATTTTCTGTTTTTGAATGAAAAAAATTCTCACTTGTTGGCATAATGCCTTAGACCTATCATACTAGTACTTCAATTATCTGCATCAGTTATAACGTCAAAAAATAAATTAATAAAAATAGATAAATAAAAAATAAAATAAATAAATGTAGTTTTAAAATCTGATATGAAACAAGCTATCCAAATAACATGGACTCAAATGGATCTTTTGAGCTTTTACGTTTACTAATCCATTTAACAAGGAGTGTCAACATACACTCGTTAAGTAAACATTAAGGTTAAGTGTTGTGATAAAATGATCTAGGATTGGCCTGAGAAGAAAAAGGTCACTGAAAAATACTTAACCCACTCTTACTTAAGTGCCACAGAAAAGACGAAGACTGTTACAGTGCCTGTAGTTTATCGCAATTATCCATACCTATGTACCTTTAAAAAACTGAATAATTTTACTGACCCACAAGACTTAGCTTTCCCACAGTTAGATGTCATCCAAGCATAACAACGTAATCTCTCCAAAAAAACATTTCGACCTTTCAGAATACTGTACGAGAACTTCATCGTCTCTCCTGTTGTAACTGCTGTTGTGTGTGACAAAACTGCGTCTGTCTGACATAACTTACCCTTCAAACACGTTTCCAGCGTTCAAGCAGCCGCGAACGGTGAGTTCTTGCTCGTTTTCTGTGTTAAGGACAATATCAAGGTCACATAGCGCCGCCAGATGTCGCGCTACCACCACTTAAATAATACCTTTGATTTGATTGGACACAAACTTTCGGCTTTAATTTTTTTACCAATCAGCGGGGATTTCACAAATTTTGTTACACGCATGCGCGTTTGCTTTGTTATTGTCGTCTGAAAATGATGGAAGAAATGGTAGCAGGTAAAAAAGTATTTTTCTGAATATTTTTGTGCTCCCTGATATAAAAACAAAGAATAGGAAAGACTCACGGTCAATTTTGTAGCCGAAAGCTATATCGTAGGAGGTTCTGACGTATCTTCGATGTCAAATGATCAATATTTATCAACTACTTCCGGATTAAGTCAGCTGATTTCGTCGTTCATTTTGCACAGCTGTGTTGTGTTATGAAACCTCAAGTAGTGACTAGTGCATGTGGCAATGTATTGGTGTAATATTTCGAGTAATATTTATATTGCACTTTTCACCCATGTTCTCTGTGTTATTTAGTGGAAGTATAAAAGCACGTAGATCTACTTCTTTCTATGGTACGTTGCATTTCACTTAATATGCATTTGAAGCCAGTTGTCAAGTGAATGACGACCAAATACCACCATAAAAGGCGTATCGTTTCAAATAGCATAGTAATACCATAGTGTATCATTTCATATTCTACAAGAACGTTTATTATTTTTATGCTTTCTTTTTCTAATTTAAAGCTGTAACTCTGCTATTCAAGGCCTCATGACAAGCTAAACGAAAATGATTCTAGAGTAGAGAATGAAAGTAGAGAGCTCAGAACAAAAGTTAGTGGTGCTAGTTGTTTGATTTTGCGAACCTCTATAAAAACTGCCCCTGAATGTCAGATTTTAACCCCTCCTTCCTTTGTTTAATTTTCTAACTCAGTTAGAAAAAAATGTGTGCACCCTGATGAAAGACTGTTTTGATATATGTCAAGTGAGCATCTGGGTTGGCACAGTGTTGTTAGTATGGGTCACATAGTTTGATATGCCCTTGGATATTCTTAGACTCTTGCTACCTGAGTTTTGTTGGTTTTACTATGGCTAGTAGCAGAGTACAGTAAGGGCATAAGCTTAGACACTTCCTATCTTACCTAAACTGATGTGGTTAAAAGGATAACAACTTCACAATAAATATATATTGTAAAAAAAAAAAAAAAAAACTCATAGAAATAGATTTCATTTTAATACCAAAACAGCAGTTATCGCAATCAAACCATGTGTAGATGGCTATACCTTCAAAATAATCTGCCAATAGAATATTACAAAGAAAAAAAAAACACGGACTAACTTTGAATATCAGAATAGATTCATAAACCATTGGTTAGTATGGGAAAATTGTCATTTACACCAGGAAAATCCATTTTTGACAAAAGTAAACAGTTATTATCCCTTTAATAACCATTACCTGTTCTATTTTACAGCTGCCTATACATATGAACCAGGGTTACTTGAACATGAAGGGTTCCCAAAGACTGAACAACCAGTGTATATACTGGGGAAATCTTACAGCACACTATACGGTATTTTGTTGCCATTATACAGTATCCTTCACCTCTGTGAAATCATTTGATAGGACTCTTGTTAAAGATGTTGCCTAGCAAAGATTTAACTATCAAATCATTTAATTTACTAAAGTAGAATAATAGAATAAAGTGCAGTAGAATTATTCATTTATTTGTTTATTTATTTATTTGACATGGTTACTATGATACTTTCAGACATGGATGAGCTGATGGGTGACATAATGTCTAGACTGTGGTTCACCTACAGGAGAGGTTTCAGTGCCATTGGCAAGTATCATTTAAAACTTTTTAGTTTCTAGTAGGCTGATAACTGGCACCTGAACAAAAGCAAATACATAACCTCCTTGACCTAGGAAGATATATGAGTTGGCAATTGTTCCTTGCATTGGCATATGTAGATATATGAGTTGTTTTCTTTACCCAGGAGGTACAGGTCCTGTGTCAGACCAGGGCTGGGGTTGTATGCTGCGTTGTGGTCAGATGATGGTTGCCCAAGCACTGATACACTTACACATTGGACGAGGTAGGTGATAGTCTAGACTATTGCTACATGCAATGCTAACTTTGGCATTGTTCTAAGTGCTAGTTATTTATTTATTTATTTATTTATTTATATTTGTTACTGGCCACTCTTTCTGCTTTGGGCCAACAGAATGAGGTTCAAAAGAGTTTTTTCTTTTAGAAACAGTGTACTTTTGTATTATTGTGCACAACATTCCCAACATGATTTTGAACATGTATTTCAGATTGGATGTGGGACAGAGACAAACCTGATCCCATATACCATAGGATACTAAAGATGTTCCAGGATAAGAAGAATGCTTGTTATTCCATACACCAAATAGGTATGAAAGTGGCCTCTTTTCACAAAAGTTCCTGGGCTATGCAGAGGTTGTTTATACCGTATGGCTGACTAAGCAAAGAGCTTTAAAGTACACGTCTCTTAGAATGATTGCCCTGTGATTATTATGGCTCTATTCCCATAGATTTAAGATCGATCTATCCCCGCGGGGAGTCTCACTAGATTACTTTCAGATAATCCGACTTAAATGTCCGTCCCGCCTACTACAAGCTGTAATGGGGTAATTAACTTTCGTGTCTGCCCGGCTGACAGCTTTTTAGCGTGAACCCCCAGGGAGTTAGGTCAGATCTAAAGTAGGTCGATCTAATGTATGGAAATGGGGTGTATGATTATTATACACTGAGATACAAGTGCAGTGACATGTGATGTGTTCACAATGAGACTATTGTACTAGGTAGATTGATTGAACTTCGTAGGGACTCCGGCTGAATGCAATCAGATTAACAGAATGACATGCCTCCTTGGACAGTGAGGACATGATCAACTTTTGTGTGCGCTCAGCCTCTGGGAACTTTTTCACTAAGTGTAGGATGTCACTGAGCGCACATGAAAATTAATCACTCTTTATCATTCAATGAATCTGATTACATCAGTTATATCAAGTTCCCTCCTATTTTCAGCTTCAATGGGCGTGTGTGAAGGAAAACCCATTGGTCACTGGTTTGGCCCTAACACCATTGCTCAAGTATTTCGCAAGCTGTGTGTCTACGATGACTGGAGTCAGATACGAGTCCACATTGCTATGGACAATACTGTGATTATCAAAGATATATGTGAGTGGAAACCTTGTGGTTGCTTTAGTTGTTGTTATGGATTTTGTATTTGTAGTTAAATAAACCACAAGTTTAATTTGTCAATAGCTATAGATAGAAAAATTAACTGATATTAACCAGGTATAGAAAAATTAACTGGTACTAACACAGCCCTCATTTCCCTGATAAAGTCTGACAGTCGGCAGACAAAAAAATTTTAAAACACAAAGCTGCTAAAACTATTCAACATTGTAGTTGTTGTATGTATTGTTTGCTATATAGATATGTATATAATTGTTTGAATGTTTGCACAATGTTTTACATTTTTGTTCAAGTGAATGTTTGTGAATGAATTAAATTCACATAGCTTATGTGAAAACTAAACTATGTTACAATATATATATTTACTTGCCCACAGTCATTAATGTTGTTATACATCAGAAAAATGAATTTTAAAGTGTTTTGTGAACTTGAGAAGGAGGAGGAGGGAGCTTTGTGCCCTTGACCTTGTAAAATAGGTCAGTAAAATACTGGCATTTATGAATTTAATGGCCACTCCATTCAACTTCAGTATATCTGATATTATTATTTTCATTATAATTATTATTGCAGTTGTTATTATTATTATAAATGTAGGGACAATGTGCAAAGAACCAGTGCGGACAGAACAAGATGGTGCTTTGGAGAGTTACAACCACAAGTCAAAGGAAATGACAGTGAACCTTAGAAAAATACATCAAACAAAAACGTCAAACTTTTCACAAAATGGACCTTCTTTACAAAAATCCAAAGGGAAAACGCACCATGGTCGTGACCCTCTATCTGAGGATTTTAAGGAAGATTTGAATGGTGATGGAAATGGTGAAAGTGGTAGTCACTATAAAGGAGCAAGCTGGCGGCCATTACTGTTGATCATTCCGCTGAGACTGGGGCTGTCAGAAATCAATTCTGTGTACTTGGACAGTCTGAAGGTAGACTTATAGATGCTGGTTACAAAGTTAGAAAAAAAAAAGAAAAAGGCAAATTGATACAGAGTGACATCCAAGTTATGAAGTGGTGTTGTTGGCAGATTGATTTGTTCAAATGTCCTGTAAAAAGTTGATGCAGCATGATAGTTTATCTTACACATTTTACTCTTGATGGTTTTTCTTTAAGTTCCTGAATACATGGAATGATTACCACAATACAGGTGCCATTAAAAGCAGACATCAAATTATCACATTACTCATCAATTTCAACCTAACTGTTTGACTTCAATTTTAGGTTTATTTTGTTACTTGAAACTTTTATACTTTAAACTTATTGAAAAAAATTACAATTTATTTGTTTATTAAAAAGTGTCAGAATTTTTACCTTTTAAAACTGTACAACTTCTGGTCTTTAAAGAACTGAGGTAAAGTTTGGCTGTTTTACTGTTGACTTAATCATCTTAAAATGTACACTGTACCTTGTCCTGTTCACAGCAATTTCTGAAGCATAAGCCTTGCCGAAATTAAACAAGTGTTTTGTTTTATTTCAGGTGTGTTTGACATTACCCCAGTCAGTAGGAATCATAGGGGGAAAACCCAACCATGCCCACTGGTTTGTAGGATATGTAGGTAAGAAAACTTGTACACACACATGCAAGCATGCAGGCACGCACACACACACACACACACGGGACAATCCCAACCATGCATGCAAACACAAATAAAGCAGACACCCCCACACTACGTAGCCCTATGTTGACCTTTGTTCTATATTACAGGTGACCAAATGGTGTACCTGAACCCCCCACACTACACCGCCCTATGTTGACCTTTGTTCTATATTACAGGTGACCAAATGGTGTACCTGAACCCCCCACACTACACAGCCCTATGTTGACCTT